GTCGGAAGATGTCGCGCTGTACGGAAAGATAAGACCCCCCTCCGAGTAGCCAATAGGGCCTAGCCTAGGACATAAGCACAGGGACGTGATGTTGTAAACCCAGGCTATGTAACACCGTGTTACTCGCCAATAACCGCCATTTGCCATCCACCACATTGGTGTCCGTGAGCTGATGGCCCGAGCGGCCTGGGATTGGTCGCCGTGCCATTCCTGAACCAGGTCGGCATGCCAACGAAGGCAACACAGTCTGGGATCTTACTAACTTGTCCTTTTAAAACCAAGAACTCCCCTCTCCCTGCAGTCACCATTAACTCTATTTTCATTCCCTTTTTCTCCACTTACACACTACCCAGCACTTCCCTGTCCCCGTTCAGCATTAGCTGCCTCATCGTCCACTTACAATGCCAGTCCCGAGACACTTGTCCTTCTCGAGGAAGTAGCTTCCTCCCTGCTTCACCCTCACACGGAGGCAGCAGAGCCACAGCTCTGAGCCTGCAGAGCACAGCCTGGATCAAGTGTGGAATGGGAGTCCCAATGCCCATCAAAGTGCACCAGCAGGTTAATTCAGACACTCCTGTGCCCATCTCTGGAGCTGCCAATTTGGTTTTGGAAAGAAAAGATATTTTTCAGCCTCTCTGAGCCCCGTGAACAAAGTAGGTGGGTTTTCCACAGCATTAATCCATGATTCTCCCCTCCAGGCTTGCTGGAGCTGCTCCGCTCTTCCCCATCTCTGAGCCAGCAAGATTTCCTCTGCCGTCCTTCCCTAGGAATTGCAGCAGAACAGCCTGCATCCAGCCCTAACACAAACCAGGAGCAGATTCCAAGCAAGGCAGAGACCACAGCTTCATTAGACCTCAATTCCTGGTCATCACAAAGACCCTAGGGCTTGCCTTTATCCAAGGAGGGGTTTTAGCCTCGGCTCTGGAATGCTGGGGAGGGTCTGGCTCAAACAAAGAGCCACATTTCTGCTGCTCACAACACTGAATAACTGCCCTGCTTCACCAAGGTTTTTCTTAGTCCTGGACAAGGATGTTCGAACATAAGAGGTGTGTGTATATATACATATATATATATATATATATATATATATATATATATATAAACACCTCCCCCCAGTTTGTTCCCAGAGGTGCATCCAAAGCACAGGTTAAGGACAAAGCTGATTTCCTGTTTCTTTCCCTCAGGCTGGGGAACATGGCACGAGGTGGGTGGCTGCAGCTACACAGGGCAGGGGAGTTAATGCCCCGGTAGCCATCGAGGTAGTGGTGAGTGGAAACTGGTGTCACAAGGAGCCTCTGGCTGAGGTTCCCCTCCCTCCGAGGCTGTAACAGAGCCCAGTCCCGCACAGAGCTGGGACCTGCAGGTTCTGCAGAGAGAAGCGTTAGACAAGAGGAGGCACAAACCATCAGTGGCTTTGAGAAGAGAAAGGAAAAATGCCCCATCCCCAGCAGCACCAAGGCTGGACAGGGCTTGGAGCAACCTGACCTGTGTGAGCTGTGCTGCAGAGCAGAGGCCCCTGAGTGAACACTCCATAACCCCTGCGGACATGTGCATGCGCAACGGGTTGCACTGGAAAAGCAACCTTAGAGCACGTTAATCAACAGTAACGCCAGGTCTCACTTTGCACAGGTTCACCCAGAGGCAAACTCCACTGTTCCCCATGCAGGAACAGCCCCGCAGGTATTTGCTTCCTCCGGTTCACCAGGATCAGTTGTGAGCACAGCAGATGGGAGCTAGGCCGGGTCCCACCACGTGCTTAAGGAGGGGGAGTCTACACGAGGTTCACAACTGACACAGGGACCCGACCTGAGGAGCTTCTGAGCAAGCACCAGTGGCTGGAACCTCCACCTCGAGCTGCCAAGTGAACTGGAATGCTCTGGTACACGGGTTTCCCCCAGCCATTTAGAACAGACCCAGCAACACTGGACTAATCCTTCTCTAAATCCATCTGTCCCATGTTTGCTGGATGCTGGAGGTGCCAATCCCAGCCATGGGATGCTGACATCCCAGTGCCAGCATCCTGGAAGGGCATCAGGCCCATGAGTGATGCAGCTACACCTGTGGGGAGCAGGACATCCCACCCTCGTTAAAACAAGTCTCAGCTCACCTGGAGATGAGAAAAAAGGGGAAAAAAAGCCACTTTCCCACTTTCCATGGCCAGATAAGGAGAGGCTGATGGGTTATTGACTTTCGCCATTGTTTTCAAGCCCCCTCCACCTACCTGAGCCCCAACGATGGCCTCAGGCACTGCAGAAGAGCGTTGCCAGCACAACCCCCAAGTTACCCTGGTAAGGAAGGGAAGAGAAATAAGGACACCAGTGGCACACACACTGCTTCCTGGGAGGTTTTTTTATTGTCATTTTAATCTTTTTTTCTCTTTTTTTTCTGGTTTTTCTATGGAGGCTCAATCTCAGATGTGGATTCGATTTAAGCTTTACAAAAAAAAAAAAAAAAATAAACCAAACCCCAAATCAAACCAAAAAGAAACCCCTTTTTTTTTTTGCATTCCATAAAAATTGACAGAAAAGCGCCTTGGAACCAGGCTCTGGAAGAGCAGAGCTCTCAGCAGGTCTCCTCATCAACATCTCCTTGCAACGAGTTTACTCAGTACAGCACAACCCCGAGGAACACCTTCTCTCCCCTCCCTCCCTCCCGGCAGCCATTCCCTGTGCCCAGCCCCAGACATACGTGGAATAGATTTATTAGTCTTTTTTTTTCCTTTTTTCCAGTTCTTCTTTCACACACCACAGTATTTAATAAATTCTTGTTTTACATTTTTTACACCAATGTAACAAAAGGCAGGAGGAGGGGGAGGAGAAGACAAACAATGATCCGTGGGTATGCATATAGATGGTGGGGAGGGAAGGTGGAAGAGGAGAAGGGGGGAAAAAAAATACATGGACTTCTACAGACATAGCCTAAGGTCTCAAGAGTAAAATGTGGTGCAAAGTAGGCCTCAGAGACTGAAAAAGTTTGTACAGCTTTATTCATGGGGAGGAGATGGCGTTGCATGGGTAGTACTGAATGCAAATCGTGACGTGACGGAACAGAAAAGGGCAAAGGGGAGGGATGAGTTCTCTAAGAAAGGAATCTAACGAGTGCATGGCATGTCTTGTTAGCATGGAGAGGACTTTAACTTTGCTGCTTTCTCTTCAAAGCCTCCACCAGGTCGTTTTTAAGAGCTTCTTGTTTTGATTTGTCTGCAAAAGTCTGCACAGACCTGCGGGGAAGAAGGAGACGCGAGTCAGAGGCCAGAGGAGGTGGCTCCAGGTTCTCCTGGCACGTGGGGCAGGAGGAAGGAGAAGCACCTCAACCCGGCTCAGCGGACACCGACCTCAGCGCGCCTGGTTTACCATGGGAAGCAGAAGGCAAAGTGAACACTCCAGTGAGAATATCAGAGCAAACGTCACTCGAGCAAGGATGGCACCAAGAGACACGCGCTGCCCCAGCGGTTCCGCTCAGCCTCCAGCTGCCGGAGGGAGATGCCCAGGGCTGGCTTGTGTTAGAGCTTGGAAAAGCCCCACTGTCCCACCAGCGAAGGGTGTTAGCGCTCCTAAGGTCCAAAGGACCACGATGGGAAGGCAGAAAACCCAGCCTCACCCCAGGAAGGGGAGAAGGCTCAGTGCAGCTCCTGAGCCCTTTGCAGACTGTTCACCCAGGGTCCCGCAGCCGCAGCAAAACCTCCCTCCCGTGGCTTCACCAGGGGGAGTTCCTGTTATCAAATTGGCTTTTCCGGTTTGTACCTTACCCACAGGCACTGGGGAATCAAAGCAAGCTGAAGAACACAGATTCTGTCAGCAAGGCTATGGCAGGGGTTCCCTGTTGCTATGGGTTTGCTTGTGGAAGAAAAACGACATCCTTTAGGAGTCATCTTGGCTCACTGCCCTGGAAGAGCTGTGCAGGAGCCTCTGTTTTCAATGGGACAGGAAGAAATTCCCACTTTCCAAAAGCCCTTTTCAATATGCTCATTGATAGACTAACACTACGGGACCTTTCAGGAGCTGCTCCCACAGAAGTGGTCAGGATTTGGTAGGATTTCTCTCCACACAGACCCTATCTCACAACCCTTCCAGGACTTGAAGCTACCTTGGATGCTGCTCCTGTAAACACGGCTGCTCTTTGTGGCAGTTGTTTTCCTAAGTTTTTTAACACTATTTCCATTCTCTTGTCTCTGGAGACTTCTACTGCTTTAATAAGGATATATACATTTGCTATTTGCATTTGTCACAGGCTGAAGAAGTGGTTCTTGGCCATTATCAACAAATAAGAGCATTTTTCCCTTCGTCAGCTTAACGTGTTTAAGACAACATCTGCAACTCATGATGGAGTGGAAGGTTAAAGTGGCTCAGGGTTAGTCACTGCTGGACATTGAGAGCTCCAGAGCAAATGTGAGCACAGGAACAAAGCCCTTTAGAGCATGAAGCAGAGACTCAAAATGTTTCATAGAGCTTGACCAGGATGGGATTTCCAAGCTCCAAGGGATTCAAATGCACCAGGCAAACAGGGATGTGCCTGTGGCGTGAGCTCACGTTTACTCAGGAGTCATGGGGGGTAACAATCAGTTTTTTGGGTTTCCCCCCCCCAAAACTGTGAGAATTCCAGGATTTCACTCCTTCCTGCAGGGAGGATGCTCAGATTACCAGGAGTTTCTTCACTGGAATGGTGTAACGAGGGACAGAGTCCCAGGGCTCCTGGATCCAATCACTCCAAGCTAACGCCACTTCGGGGATGTGACCACATGCTCCTTCCTTGCTCCCAAGCTAACAGTGCCAAGTGGTAAATCCTGCCACATCCCAGAGCGTGACATTCCAAATGTTACTCAAGTGGAGCAACATCTAACATCCACAATCACAGCATTTAGTTGGCTGTATTAGGAAATAACCCTTGGGTGAAGCACGGCTCGGACGTCGTTGCTCAGTCTGCGGGAGTTAGGGGTTAGTTCTGGTCTGGGTTATCATGCAGAGGTCTTGGCTGGTGAGTCCTGGTTTAGTGCTGGTTGTCACCGCACAGGCAGGGGTACCTGGAGTGCTTTAGTTATCAGGCTGGATGTAGATCTGGCGCTGGGTCAACACTTGAGAAAGTTCCCTCTGCAACTGCTTATACTTTTGGTTGTCGGGGATAGCATCAATAGATCTACAGAGAGCAGTTCAGAAACGAGGGAGGTAAACAGGGAGAAGAACAGTCAGAAGAACTCAGTAACACAGAGCTGCTATTCTGGAAACCAAAGAGCACACTCGGGAGGAACGAGTGGAAATACAAAGGTTAGAAGGAACAGGGAAAAGGCGAGAGAAAGAGGCGGATGCTCTGTGAGTTACCAATGCTGAGCTGATCATCCCACCACTGCAGAGTGCCACGACTCAAACTGAGCCATGGGGAGACACAGGAAACAGATTCAATTCCAAAAGCTTCTGGCAGCATTCACAAGGAAAAGGACTCTGTTACACATTTAATGTTCATAAATGCTTCCTGGTGAAACCCCTGCACACCACAACTGAAAACAGAGGCCTGTCCTGAAAGCTGGGCTTGGAGGAAAACCCCAGCCCAGCTGCTCTCTCAGACACCCTCATCTCCCCTGTCCATGCTGCTGCGAAGGCAGCACACATATTTCATCAGCACCATTATTCCATCTTCTTCCACATTTCAGGATGGGAGAGAGGAGCAGCACACGGAGGTGTGAATTCTACATCACCACACTGTGCTTGGAGGTGCAGCTGTGGTTTCAAACCAAATCATTTGGCATCACAACTACCAGCTTGGGATTTCCTGACCAGAAGTGAGCAGGGGTTGACAAGTAGAGCACAGGTTCCCTACAGAAAGGCCCAGGGGATTTATTTGCTTCATCTGGACACTGTGTTTTGACCAGTGGTGTTGAGAGAGGAACAGTGTTTAAAACAAAGTCTAAATACCACAAACCATTAACGTTACAACCCTGGGACCAACCTGGCTGTTTCTGAGAAGAGTAGAAAGAGAAGTGAGAAGTTAAGCACAGGCTTCAACTGTGAAAAGTAAAACTCCTCATTAAAAGTAATCCTGAAATACAAGTGTGGCCAAGTGGGCTGTTTCCTTCCTGCTGAGGGAACAAAGGATTAAAACATCACTATAGCTACAGGGTAGAAGTGTTCCATAAACTCCACACAACAACTCATGCTTCCAAAGCACAGGGAGGTGGGCAATGAGGGACATGACAAAGCTGTGTAGGAGAGCAAAAGCAGATCGGTGCTTGGCAGGGGCGGTACCGTGGGCCCTGTGGAAGCAGAGTGTTCAGTGGGCAGCTGGAAGCCCCTTACCTCAGCCCATTCACGATGTCCTTTGTTTTTCCAAAATAAATCTCATTCAGTGTACTTCTGATTTTGTTTTCCATGTCCTAGAAAGGAAAAGGAAGAAACCAAACGTTCAGTGAGGTCCTCTGTTATCAGAACCAGGGTCCCCACACTCTTCTGTGTGTCGCATACGTTAGTCTTGAGGTACCACACTTCATCTGGGAATCCCAGACTGGTTTGAGTTGAAAGGACCTTTAAGCTTACCCAGCTCCAACCCCTGACACAGACAGGGACCCCTTCCACTGGAGCAGCTTGCTCCAAGCCCCTGTGTCCAACCTGGCCTTGAGCACTGCCAGGGATGGGGCAGCCACAGCTTCTCTGGGCACCCTGTGCCAGCGCCTCAGCACCCTCACAGGGAAGAGCTTCTGCCAAAGAGCTCAGCTCAGCCTCCCCTCGGGCAGGTTCAAGCCATTCCCCTTGGCCTGTCCCTACAGGCCCTTGTCCCAAGCCCCTCTCCAGGTTTCCTGCAGCCCCTTTAGGCACTGGAGCTGCTCTGTACACTCGATTTCAGCCCAGTGTATTCCTACTGTCTAAATTCTCACAAGCCTCTCTCTCTGCTTTTACCAAAGGAATGAAGGCTCAGCTCTGTTTCTGCCTTCTCCCAGCCTCCAGCCTACTCCAGGCTACAGCACATCCTTCTGCACCACGAGAGGGCAGCTGCTCCCCAGGTATCACTGATCTGCACTGAGCTGCAAAAAGGGGAATGGATTTCATCCCAACCTTGCTCTGTAATTTCCTGGCACTGAACAGCCTGGAAGTGGCCAGCCCCAGTCAGCCATTCAGCACAGCCACCAGGTCAGTTGTTCTGTGCCATGGCAAACAGTTTTGGGAAAGATCCTGTAAATAAGGAGCAGTTTTTCATTAAGTCACTTTCCTTCAAGCCAAAAACTTGGGATTGACAAAGAATTTCCTGCCCCCCTTTCAATTCCCAGCTCCTTCTGGAAATCCAGCACCACCATACAGGAGAGTGCAATGAGACAGCAAAACAGCATCGCAGCAAAGCCCTTCTGGGTAGGTGACACCTTCAGTCACCATCTGAACACCCATAGCTGACAGCAGCTACAAAATCAAGTACTAAACCCGTTCCAGTGGATTTAATGAGCACTTGATGCACTCTGAACAGTCAGGGAAAGGGGTGGGTCTCTGCAACAAAGCTTGACTTTAAATAATGCCACCCAAAAGTGACTGTAGAAGCAAACACAGGGGTTGGAAACTGTTAACTACTTCTACTGCACTTACAGGGAGGTTACTGCTCTAATGGGCAGGAGACAAAGTGCTGAGCAGTGAGGCTGTATCTACAAACGGCTGGAAGCCCTGACAGGAGAAATACTGATCCCTCACACACTGAGCAGCATCCAAACCATCAGGCTTTGTACAACAGAAATAACTTGTTTGTGAAGACAAAGGCAACAAAATTCTAAGACACAGGACCTGGAGAGGGGCTTGGG